TGTTTTCCAAGTTATAAAAAATTTTTTGTTTCGATTGAAGCAATTGACTTTCTCGCTTCGGAAGCTATCATACCGTACGGAAACAATGGGTTACCTTATCATTTCTTCTTTTCCTCGTTATAGCAGTGTTTTTTACAATTTGTATTAGTTTTGTTACAATTTTCTTTATCATTTCCGTACGGTACGATATCTTCCTAAACGAGAAAGTCATTCGTTTAACCGAAACAAAAAAATTGTTTATAACTTTGATAATATTAATTTCTTCACCCACGTTTATTAGGACTTCTTTTCATCATTTGGCAAGTATGTACTATCTACCCTATAACTTATGAACCTTTTTTTTGTATCGTCCTGTATATCGATAAAATGCATAAGAGACAGGGTCCTACAAATGTATGGTACGTACAAATGTATTAATTTGTGGACTGATATGTCCACAATTATTAAAATTACACCAAATTACTGTATCTGGTAATAAATACTTCTATTTACAAATTTGAACAGATGTCTTAATTATATGAAAGTAATTTATAATCCTTTATTATGATGTCAGCAGCTATCGAATGTTCGTAGATACTCCATGACTATTCCAATATCACAATTATACTAATTACTTCGAGTCCCTTTTAGAGTGAGGTCGAGAATTGATTGTATAAACAGAGATACGACGAACTGGATGAGCCCAGCGTGTATACTTCAGCGTTCATTACGCACTGCTATAATTAATTAAATCCCCACTAACCGGCGTCGATTCAAATTTAGACAAAGCTGTTTATACAGCCAGCATGGTTAGGGTCAGCAGGTTAATTTACTGTTCGCATAGCTTGTAAATCCAATCATTATCAGCTGAGAATTAGCTTTAAAGTATCCTGATAAAAATTCTGATGTTAAATACAATTATACAATAGATGCAACAAGCTCGTAGGTGTTTTTTTTCTCGAGTAATTTTTTTATATTATAATATTGTATTTTTTCATTGTGATGATGGACAGTAGCTGTATCTATTAACGAATAAACAGCTTATACAAGTTAGCTTTATCAAATCCAGTTTAAAGTGAATTTAGTTGCAAAATAATATACAGGGTATGTCAGTAAGAACTGCTATGTAAAATAACTCGTGACCTATTGGGTGTATCAGAAAAAATGTTAATGAATTATGTAGCATTTTAAGGGACACATCGAATGGATAAAATTGGATTTTTTTATAATCTTTTTTTAGATATCAAGGTGACCTTGAGTTTTTTCAAGGTCAATGCATCTTTTTTTAATAACGTGTATTGTAGATGGAAGAACGAATTCAACGACATATAGCATGATGGTGTTAAAAAAGAAGATCCATTGACCTTGAATAAACTCAAGGTTACCTTGATATCTGAAAAAAAATAAGATATAATGGAATCCCTTAAAATGCTAGATAATTCATTAAAACGTTTTCTGATACAACAGATAGGTAACGAGTTATTTTAGATAGTAGTTCTCATTGACTCACCCTGTACATGTATTAAGGGCATAATTTAGGTAACGAAACAATAATCAAATATGTAAGTGGACAACCTCTCGTAATTTAATAGCTTCTAGAATGTTGAAATAAATGTGGCACTTTTTTAGTTGGAAGCAAAAATATTAGGCACCCCATAAAATAGGAATTTTTTTAAATATTTTCATATTAGGAGAAAATCAAACTATTGAAATGTGAAAAAAATCAGTTTTCATTCATTTTGCCAATATTCTATTGGGCCATCCTTTTCCCTAATGACTGACAATCACAGCAATTCCTTTCTGACATTTACCCTGTACCTTTAAAAAAGAATTTACTTGCATTTATAGTCACTCAATTCAATCAATTCCAGTATATTTCAAGGAAAAATGTCTAACTTTCAAAATAGTGACAGGGTAAACGCACCAATGAATGAACACTTAAAAGATTTTGTAACTATTAAAGACGAATTTTAAATGATAATAATATTAATAAATATTTTGCACGTGAACATTAGATTTTCTAACATCCATACCTTTTTATAAGGTATAAATTTCCATTTGAGACATTGAAAAATGTAATTAGTTGAAAAAGAAGAATTACAAGCTGAAGTCTGAAAAAGAAAAATTACAGACTTCACCAGTGAATGAATATTAACCCGTAAATGACTATTTCTAACTAATGACACGAAAATTGTTCGAATATGAACAAGGAAATGAGAGAAATCAATATTTAATCATTTGCTTATTTTAATAATTTAATTTACTCGTTTTTATATATAATGTTCATTCACTAGGACGTATTTATTCACTGATGCATCCACTCTATCAAAACTAAAGACAAGTTGATGTGAGTTAGCAGCAAATACCAACAACAAATTGTAATATTTAGAAAGAAACAGAAAATTTAGACTATAAACCCTTTAGTTCCTTTATGGTCCACTGTAAACTTTGTCAACTGTTTTAAAATTCCTTTAAACTGCCCGACAAAGGATGATGAACAACAGGTTTCAAAGAAATAATTTTCACAGCAAACTGTAATAGTAAAGCTGCCTAAAACTTTTGACCCAGGCTGTACATCTACGTCTACTACGGTGGTTCTTATTTTCTTAGCTCTGAATATTTTTCGATCTGACTACCTAAAATGATTCCAAAACATAAAAAATAATTCATATAAAAGATGAGTCTAAATCAGCGACGGGCAAAGTTGGCTCCCGGGAGCTAAAACTGGTCTCCATTATCGTCCACATGGAGTGACAGAGACCAGAGTCTGAGCTTCTTTGTTTCTACGAAGGCACACGGTGCGAAAGAAAGATTAGAAGGGGAAACAGGCGCGTGAGGTGCCCCTACGATGCCCAGCGCTGGTCTAAACGAATAACATTTGACTTCATTTTGTCCATTTCTTTTATAATAAAAAGAAAGACCGTCTAAATCAGGGGTTCTCACTTTTGGCCAAGGCTATATTGTTCATTGATATTTTTTCATGACTCCACTCCCCTTATTTCAGTAACACCCTGTAGCTTGGTGACTCATTGTAGCCACCGATAATCGATCTTCCAGGTAACCGATACTCGGATAATCGACGTTCCGCTATATTTGAAGTCATTTAACCTTCCACAAAATAAAACCAGCAGCCCACATCTTCGCTTGATCCTCTAAATCCTGATATGTCTCCCCGTTAGGGAAGCCCCCATGAACAGATTGGGGATCGGGCTGAAGATGGATACCTACGTCACAGGTCGCGAAGACATAGCTTCCTGGAATCGCGTCATTGGTCGCGTTACCCTTGGGCTTGACAATTTCTACATTCCCGGTAGAACCCTCTCGACGTGTTAGAGGGACATAACTTCTCGACTCCTCGGGGAACTAGTGTCAGTACAGCGCAGTGGAAAGATAAGTAATCGATACCGTGTATGTAATGTCATACACGGTTCATAGCTTCTTCTTGCGAGGACTATGCCTTCTGAATGTTTTCCAATTAATATTCTGAATAGAAATTTATTATTATGCTTAACCCTTTCATCCCCAAATTTTGAGAAAATGACCAGTGATATTTCGTTGTATTTGTGTATACGTTGCATGAAATATAAATGATTAACAAGAACGTTTTAACATTTGGAAACCATCTAATGTCCATGTTCCATCCGGTACCATTTGACAACTTTTTTTACTTTTTTCATAGTTATACACGGTGTCCCATTTAAATCGATCCCCTTGAATATCTTTGAAAATAATTGTGATATCAGAAAGTGTTTCAAACAAGAGTTGAATGGTATCGAAGGAGACGTAATTTGATGACAATAGTTTTTTTGTAGGTGGAGACGTAGAGGACATGTAAGGGTTAATTTTATTTTTTTAAATGGAACCATATGTTTCTTAATGCATTGATTGATGCAGCTCGTTATTCCCTGTAAAAATTTATTAACCTATTTATGTCGAAAAACTCTTAGCTTAGGAGATGTTTTAATTTCGAAATTACATGCGACGACTATGGACGTACTGGTGAACATCAACTTTATGACGGAAAACATCGTATCACTAGTACCACTGCGCCAATTTTGGAATTAAAATATGTCTTAAATTAATGGTTTCTCGGTATAAATAGGTTAATCATTTTCTACAGGAAATGATGAGCTGCATCGACCAATGTATTACAAACAATATGGTCCCACTTAAAAAAATTAAGTTGACCTTCATATGTCCCCTAAGCATCCAGCTACAAGAAAACTATTGTCATCAAATTACGTCTCCTTTGATACCATTCAACTTTTGCTACAATACTCTTTGAACTAATATCTGTATATTATTAATTTTGTTTAATATATTTATTATAGAGGACCTGTATATGCAAATACTTTTCTTATCTACTGTACGAAATGTCATCTTGTTCTTGATTCTTCTACCAAGTACAGGACATTCTGTATTGAAACATGATCGCCAAAATTAGTTTCTTTAATTGTTCTTCAGCATGTCCAACTCCTTTTCCAAATCCCAACATTTTGTAAAGTAAACAACATACAGTGGGTAATCAAATTATTAGAGCGACAGTACGGAAAATATGTTTTCCTAATGTACAAATAAAATATTAATAAGAAGATTTTTACACTGGATAATGTTTAACTAACAATTGTCCACTAAAAATACACAAAAAATTAAACTTAGCTTGCGTAATTATAAAAAGTACGGGTAAAATCGTATAAATCGTCAATTTATGCAGGTGGCTCTAACAATTTGATCGCTCGCTGCAGTGACAAGTAATAGGTAATTAGGTAAGAGGGTAATTTGGCTAATTAAGTATCCGGGTAATTTGAATAATTAGGTAACAGGTAATATGGAAAAACTGGAACCTGCATAGGAAGATAATTTTTCAAAGTCATGTTCAGTGACTCTGACGTAACGAGACAACGTAAACGACGGAGCACAGAAATACATTGCACGCTCGAATTATTAATGGAACGGACATTTTACTACTATGCTCTCGTGCAACTAATCACGTAGGTCTTTACACGTGTGTGCAGGATGATTCGGAGTTCCTGATTGCCAGATATCGATCCACATTTCAATTGGTAAGTACCGTCCACGTCACTGCTGTTTCGACGGTAGACGTTGTCGTAACGAACCCGCCCGCGGACTCTCTTTTTAACCCTATAACTCTCAGTGTTGGACCGGTTGCCACTGGGGTGTTACGAATATTTCGAAATATTCCAAGTATTCGAAATATTCGGATTATAAAGAGTAATCCAAATATTCTAATTATTCGAATTATTTCAAATATTCGGATCACTCGTAGTATTCGAAATATTCGGATTATTCGAAGTATTTCAAATATTCGGATTACTCGTAGTATTCCAAATATTCGGATTGTTCGAGGTATTTGAAATGTTCTGATTACCCAACATATTCGAATATTCGAAGTAATAAAATTATGGATTGTACTGAATAGGAATCGGAATATATGATATCTCGCAGTTTATCGTGAAATACTTTTCACATTGGCCTTTAGAAATATTTGCTCTTCAAACGTTAAATCTGAATCTTTATCGGAAAATTTATGTTATTCGAATACTCCGTACTATTCGAAGTATCCGAAATTATTCGTAATTATTCCGAATTCTTTGAATTATTCAAATAGTTCGAATATCCGAATACTTACAGTTCTAGTTGCAAGACGCATTTTGCACTTTTGTGCGTTAAATTTTGTCATCGACGAATATTTGACTCGTGTCAGCTAACATCCCTAGTTGCACTAATGTCAAATAGTATTTACCGTTTTCAGTTGAGAAATTCGAGTGTTCCCTCCAAAATTAAATAAACAAAAAAATAGGTGGATTGAACCCCTTAACACGCGCTCTTCTTGAAATAATTGTCAAATGAATCAATTTTTTTCTTTCGTGGAAATCATTATTTGAATATACTTTTGTACAATACTTACACATATGAAGATATAAAATAAAATATTTAGTCCAAAACACTAATTTTACTTCTCCAACTTGCATACCTGAAATGTAAACACAATAACTACAATGATTTGAAAAACAACAAAAAATTAAACACAATGAGTAATAGTGATGGTTGAAACAGTAACAGCTGCAAATAAAGAAAACTTTCCAAAAGTTACTCTCTCGATGCTTGTATTTCTCGATATGTATGATATATCTTTTTACCTAAATTTTCTTTTTAACCTAAAATTACAAAAATAATTAAAAATTAGGTTAACTTATGCAAATACTAAAATAATAATTCTTCTTTTATACAATCATGATTTTCTTGGGATTATTTTTCATGGCCCGTGTGTATTGAGGTATATACATTATGGTAACGTAACGTTCTACCCTGATCGAGTTAACTCGAGCGTGCACATTCCTACCAATAACGTAAACTCGAGTTAACTCGAGCATGCGTGTTAAGGGGTTAATATAGATATTTTCGACTTCAAAAGAACAGGATAAAACATATGTATCAGTCTTATAATTTTTAAATAATAATTTAAAGATCTGAACGTTGAAGGATTAAATTAGACTTTTATTTTGGGTGTTAAAGGGTTAAATAGTTTCAAAATGGTAGAGCTAATGGTGTTTAATGATTCATGTTGGGTCGGACGTAACTGTAGTGGGTTACACCATATACGGAGCTTCAATTCTGTAGCCAGTATATTGAATTTTTAATAGTTATCTTATGTGGATACTTTTACTTTGTAATGCTTTGCGATTCGACAGTTTTGTGGTCCCAGTTGCTATTAAGGGCTAACATCACGATAATAAGCCAAAAATGGTAGGACAACTTTAGAAGTGATTTTAAAGAAATTTACGAATTTTATTTAAAAATTTAACATAAAGCCCTTATGATATGTATAAAAAAAAACAAAGAGAATTTTATTTAGAATCTTTGAGTGGAATTAACGATACAATAGCCGCACAAATATTCTTCTATTACGTTTATTTTTAGTATGTCGTATTAATATCATTTTGTACTGCGAAACGTTTGTGTTGAAAATCAGTGAAAAGGAAATAAACTGGCTACCGAACGGTGGTCGTGACCTAAAAAATTCACTGAAAGAAACAAACATGCATTTAAGCAAGCCAAGTTGGTTCTTATTATAAATAAGAACCAGTTTGATTGAAAGTTCGCTGTTTAAATCTAGATATTTTCTTCTTTCTTGCATTCGGATTGACGTAGGGAAATGACGTTCATAATCTATTATAGTATAACAATCTCATCATATATTTATATATTATAAATAGACCATGAATTTTTTCGCAAAATGAAATTTTATAAAGTAAGTCATGAAGACAAGAACGAAAGTCGGAATTTTTTTTCAATCCTTGAATATTTTTTATTGGATTAAAAATGAAACAGAAACATCTGACAACATTTTTGTATTTTATTGTACTTTACAGAGTCCCGTAGGCTACAAATGTATAAAATCCGTAGTCTAATTATACAGGGTGTCCCGTTATAGAAAAACATGCCTACCACTGAAAAACTCCATTGTATGAAGAAATAGTTCAGACAAGAAGTGAATGGGTTCAGGGGGAACATAATCTGATGTAATTAGTTTCTTTGTAGATGGCCAGGTAGAGGTCATATGAAGGTGACATACGTTTTTTTAAATAGATTCCTACAGTTTTAATACAGTAGTCGACCCATCTTAGTATTCCCTACAAAAAAGTATTAACCCATTTATATAACAAAATCATTAGTTTAGGAGATATTTTAATCTCAATGTATATGCGCTTAATGATTTTTCGACATAAATAGGTTAATACTTTTTCTTTTTAAACGCATGTCACCTTCATATGACCTCTACCTGGCCATCTACAAAAAAACTAATTACGCCAAATTATGTCCCCCTTAAAATCATTCACTTCTTGTCTGAACCATGTTTTCATACATGGTAGTATAGTTACAATGGTAGTATAGTTATACGTAGTGGACAGTTTTCCAATACTTCGCATGTTTTGTTTACAACCGGACACCCAGTATACAAATTTATGAATTTAATTAAAGCTGATAATAGATTTAATATAATGATTCAAATTTAATATTTAATATTATGAGGCATTATAAAATTAGTAAAAAATTTATCTAGATCAAGATTTTTATTCATAACAAAATATATTTATTAAAACACAACGATATAATTATTATATGGCCTCCAAATAGAAAGAGTCCATTTTGGTAATAATTTATTGCAATCGACAGTGGTCAAGGTAGTTAACAGAATAACTGACCAGAATTTCTTTCATTTTAGGAAAATGAACTCAAAGGATTAAGGTCAGTCTGCCACCTTACCGTACTACTTGAGTGGCGCATCAATAAACTTTCAGGGTTAGAGGTCAAAGAGAATCGAACGAACTAGATAATAGTTACTTACCGTACTACGTAACGTAGAAGATATAGTCAGCGTGCCTACATACGAGTATATGTGTAATATACCGGGTGAGATATTTTAATAACTTTGTTTCGTTTTTTAGTACCCACCCAGATAACACATGACTCCTTGAAGACGTCCATTTTACGGTTATTTCAGGTGTGAGGTGCCTTTAAGCCGTCACTAAGGTGCCTCGCGCAAATTTGTAATAATTATAAATTTAATTGAAAATTTAACAGAACATTCTTAAAGGCTTCAATTTTCGATTGGTACCGAAAAATCGCGAGGTCAACGACAAAATTATTGAAAAGAAACTTTATAAAACTTTCTTTTTAACACGAGCCTATTGGAACTGTAGTTAATACTGAGAAGTTAATCACTTCTTCTTTAGTTACAAAATATTACATGTTCGTAAAAAATTAAGTGGTTATAGATTTTTATACGGAGAATATGATGGCACGGAAGAAAAATATATGTTGACGATAAAATAATACTAAAAAGTAAGATCAAAGTATGCAAACTTAAATTTCAATGCGTTTGGTAGTATCTTCTACGCATGTCTGCTATGAGCAGCAACGTCGCTTGTTTTCCTTTGGTTTGCTCAACGAACATTCCACCTTTTTCTTAAAAATGAAAAAAAAATTTATTTCTTTTCTCAATAAATAAAAACATTTGGTAAATAATTCATAATTGTCAAATTTTCAAAGCATTTTTTTATTACACAATTATGAATTATTTACCAAGTGCAAAAATATTTAAAAAATTTTCGAATGGGTTCTTATAAAAATTTTAAATTTTACGTGAAATATTTTAGAAGGGAAAATTGTTTCGTTTTGTGATATTAAAAGGAAGACAGCAATTTTGACATAGCAATAATCCATTTAATAATGAATGTAATTCCCTCCAATGAAAATTCAATCAAAGGAATTAAAGGATTAATGAAAAGTATCGTCAATTTTACACATTCGAAGAGTGAAATTACTTTTCCACTAACCCAGTAGAATTCTGAACTCCATAGGTATAAAGTTATAATTTAAACAAAATTTCAAAAGGACACATTACATTACGAATATTATATGAGAAATTTTACAACATAGTAATGACTGAATATAAAATTAAATAAATTTAAATTTCTTGCGAACTTATAAATATTGTTCTGTAAACCAGAACACTGTTTCATTTTCATTTTTATTCTTACAAAAGATGATATTACCATTCCCCGACAGAAATAAAAAATAAAATTTTCCAATGACGTCAATAATGTTATGAATTTTTCATATGTCCCTGAGCACAATGAATTTTCTAGTTCTATTTTTTGGAAAAAGTAACAATACAAGAAATCGAGTTCTAGAATATTGATTTACTTTTGGGCGGGATTGTTGTCTGCCCACTTGTGATACACATCTGGTCGCACCCTGTGCATGAATTTAAGAAAAGATACGTATCTGAAAATACCGGTTCGAGGAATGGTTTCCAACCCCATAGAGGGTTGCTCGACCTCCGCACGTGCCCCATAAAGGAACATACTGATCTCGAATAAACTATACTACCTATATGAATAGAATGAAATTTCGTTGGTCTGTAATTTTCTTCGATATGAAGTTGTTGCATAATAACGGTCGTTCCTATATTATGGTATTTTTGAACGATTATAATTACAGTGGATTAACAAATTATTATTAGCAGAAGGAGAAA